AAGAAGAGTTTTTTTCCGCCGAAGAGAATTGATAGAGATCGAAAAGGGATTGGATGAGTTTAAATTGAATAATTTAATTTTATTATTTTTTTTAGTATTATGTTATTAGTTAATGAATATTTGTTTGACTAGAAATATTAGTTATAGTTTGACTAGAAATTATTATAGAATTTTAGTAGGATAAGAATTTGAGAGTTTGATTATGAAACTCTTTTAGAATTTTAGTAGGAGAATAGTTTTTATTTTGGTAAGGAACTTAGCCTATAAATAATGGTGTAATACCAACTATTTTTATTAGAGAGAGTGATATAATAAAAAGCGATTCTTCGTGGAGAATTTGTGTTTCTTCACCAATTCCTTGCGAGGATGACATAAACCCCTTCCACCCCCTCTTCTTTCTTCTTTTCTTTCTATTCTATGATTTCTAGTCTTTCTCATCCTACATCACTAAGACCACCTTTAGTTTTGCCTTGGAACAAGAGTTTCTATGTGCACTCGTCCTTCACAGAAAAATAACCAACATGAAATTCAAGGAATACATTATTGTCAGCTGTAAATTGACTGACGACCACTAAAAAAATTTTGATGTGAGGAACAGGTAGAACTAAATTTAATTTAAAATTTGAATAGGGAAGAAAGAGAGGCGGGTGGAACCAATATGACTAATAGGCAAACCTGTTTCATCCCCAACTTAATAGCGTGTGTGCCATTGAAGGGTTCTACACAAATAGTTAGATTTTGGAAATTGTTGGTGAGGTGGTTGGTGGAGCCAGTGTCCATATAACAGTTGAGATCATTCTAAGACTGTGGATGTGCAACAAAGGCTTGCATATTGGGTTGGGAGCCCTGATACGAAAGATCAAGGCGGTGGTAGCATTGGACTGCAATGTGGCCATTTTTTCCACACAGTTGACACATCGGACGGGACCAGAAGATTGAAATTAGGTTTTGATCCCCATTTGTAGAGGCGTGAATTACACGAGGAGGATAAGTAATAGTCCCATCCACGTAACCAAAGAGTTGATGCCCATGGAGATACAGCAGAATTTGGGCACGCCAGAGAAGGTAATTATCCTTTGTTAGTTTGATTATCACTAGGCTCTGCAGGTTTAGAGGTGGTGTGAGGGTGCAGGTTTGGGAGGTTGCAAAGGAGGAGGACGAGATTGAGGAGGTAGCTGGTGTGGTTAAGGCCATTGGAAAAATTTTGGACGTTTGTCTTGATAAGCTCTAATACCATAAAGAAAAAGACAATGGCAGAGGATTTTGGTAATCTCACTCAATGAGCAATTGTTGTAGTATATTTTCTATATATAGCAAGAGCATGTACAGTTGTTACATGTGAACAAAATATTCAAACCGGAGCTAATCATGCTTGGTAATTGATGCTTGATTCACTGCTTGATTCATGGCTTGATTCTCCAATATTTCTTAATTATTTAAAATGTAAATGAATATCATTTTAACACTAATATAAATTGTTTGGCGATATTATGGTTACAGAGGGTTTGGTAGTAAAATAATAATAGAAAGAGATTGTAAATTTTGTGTATCGCACGGGTGCCCACTAATATTCCCAATAAAGTCAAGTGTCATTTAAGTTGACAGACAAATCCTCTAATAAGGGGTAATGTTATTCATACCAAAAAGAATTACCAAAGCAACTTACCAAATGAGTTGGCTTTCTACTTGTCACTTGTGGGACCCATGAGTTGTTGGTGACGAACCTTTCCTATAGATCACTTTTTTATCTTTTTTTTTTTTATTGTTTTTCACTCTTATTTACTGTAAGCATTCACTCTTATTTACTACCTTCAACCTCTTTCACCTACTATTATTTCTCCCCATTCGTAAACCAGCTTAAACAATACTCATCCACCATTTTCAATTCTTACAACTCGTGGCTCCCATATATAACTCTATGAAATGGAGAAACAGTTTCAAAATGCTTATACAATAGCAAAACGGCTAGGAAGCACAAATACTTGGGGGTTTGTCGTGGCAATGTCGTACCCGTATCAGACACGAATACGCATGTCCAATGGTCAGACACGTGTCCGATACTTCCAAAAGTATCCTAAATAGTGGAAAAGCCTTTTTCACAACCAGATACATCCCGGATACATGGGGATATGGCGGGATACAGGGAGATACGGTGGGGTTTCATTTGTTATTTTATAAAATTGAGGGGTTAAAACAAAAATAGAAAAAGAGAACCGACCTGCAGAGCAAAAGCTTGATGTTCGATAGTTTCATTCCTAATAGAGCAGTCCATATTCGCGCGAGAGAGAGAAGAAGACTACACTAGATTTGCTTCGGCAACCAAAAGCCTTCGGTTGAACTCAAATCTCTCTGCCATATTTGTTTCAACTTCGGCAACCAAGGAGAAGGAGATCTGCTTAACTGCGAATCCCTCTCCAAATTTGGTGCTTGTTGTACTGCAGTCAAACTTGAACAAACATCCTTGTTGCTGCTTGCTGCTTACTGCTTGATCGACAGAGAGAAAGAGAGAGAGAAGAGAACTCCAGGTTTGTTTTCTTCTTTTTTAGGGGATTTGTTACTTTAATGATTTTTCTATTTAGGTTTAGATAAAAAAAAATTAGATTTTGTTATCTGGAATTTTTTAGTCATATATTTGATTTTTTTTTTCAGTCATTTATTTATTGTTGTTATATATATAAATACATTTAATTAATTATTTTAATTAGTCATATCCTNCTGCTTGATCGACAGAGAGAAAGAGAGAGAGAAGAGAACTCCAGGTTTGTTTTCTTCTTTTTTAGGGGATTTGTTACTTTAATGATTTTTCTATTTAGGTTTAGATAAAAAAAAATTAGATTTTGTTATCTGGAATTTTTTAGTCATATATTTGATTTTTTTTTTCAGTCATTTATTTATTGTTGTTATATATATAAATACATTTAATTATTTTAATTAGTCATATCTTCGCCATACTCATGTCCTATATTTTAAAAAAATTTCGTATTCCCATGTTTGTATCATATCAGATATGACAATTGAATTCATATCCGTGCTTCTTAGCAAAACGGTAAATGGTTTACGAATGGGGAGGAGTATGCTTTGAAAATAACAATAGGGTGAAAGACATTGAAGGCAGGAAATAAGAGTGAATGCTTACGGTAAATAAGAGTGAAAAGCAATAAAAAAAAAAAGTGAATCTGCAGTAAAAGCTTCTTCACCAACTCCTCTTGGGTCCCACAAGTGACAAGTAAGATGTCAACTTATTTGGTAAGTTGCTTTTGGCAATTCTTTTTGGTATGCATAGTATTACCCTCTAAGAGCATCTTCAACCATGCCTTAAATTTAGACTCAAATTTGAGTCTAAATTTGAATAAAAAGCTTGATTTGATATAGAGTACTCTAATGGGCAAACTCAAATATCTACTCAAATCTTTTAAAAAATTCCTTTATTATCCCAGAACTCATTTTTTTTGCCATTCAAATCATGATATTTGATAAAATAAATGAAACTTTCATATCTCTCCACAAATAGGTAATTCAAAAAAGAAATGTATACAACACTACATGGGAATAAAGAAACCACTCTAGAATTCTAAGATTATTCTAATCCTTTATCATTTTTTATAAATCCAGATAAAGAAAAGAAAAAGAAAAAGAAAAAAAATATAACAATTTTGAAATGAGTCTAGTCTAAAGAACACACAAACATATTTTTTTTTTAACAAAAATACAAGATTGAAGAAATAAAATGACGAATTTTCTAAATTCGTGGGTAGTGAAGGCTTGAAATTTTAAGAAGAATCAATGGCCTGAAATTGTACTACCGATAGTGTTTAACTCAAAAAAATCAAAGAAAAATTTGATGGGTAGGATTAGAGTTTATATAGTATGAAAGATGTATGAGATTAGGATTTTGAAAAATACAAAAAATTAAGAAGACGAAAGATGAAAAAGAAAAAACTTACCTCCTACCTTCAAATGATTTGTGAAAGTTTCAGTGATTGTCAACAATGGAAGCAACGTAGTAGGGAGGGCCAAAAAAAGACGGAGAACAAGTCATCGAAGAATTCTTTTAGTTTTGGATAGGTTAAAAAGTTATCGTTAGAAATTTAGTATCGAATTTGAGTCTAGTTCAATTTGAGTCTAGAATAAATTTTGTCTTGATTTAGTATAGGATTGAGTCTAAGGTTAGAGAAATTTTTTGAAACATTTTGACTCAAATTTAAATTTGAGTCTACATTTGAGTCAATTTTAGAGATGCTCTAATAAGTTTGTTTGACTTGTAACAGCAGAATAAAGACACGGAAACAAAACAATCACCAACACCTTTGAAGATTAACACAAATGTTTGTTAAAACAAATAATTTTTTTCAAATCAAACAGATACCAAAAAAAAAAAAAAAATTCTCCTATTCCAAAGAGTGGGAGTTCAAAACAAAATATAGGATTACTTCATTCTCCGTAGGAACCAGCGGTAGTCGAATATGAAAAGAAACAGCCCTTTTCCTCAAAACCAGGTTCAAATAGTTTGAACTTTACAAGGATGTACAAGATCGCAATAATATACAAAGGATAAAGCACGATAAAGAATGACCTTTATTTTGATAGAGTCTAATGAAATTCAACCCAGAAGAAGATTCCTGAAAATTAAAGCGACTTTGTACAAACAAGCACAACCTTTTTCAGATTCCTCAAGACACAAGTATGGGTAAAAGGCTAGCAACTTTTGAAAAGAACCACTTACCAAAATAAAAATTGAAAAAGTACCCACAACCCCGAGACAACAGCAGATTCACAAATCAAATGATTCATGCAACCCAAAAAGATAAATAAAAGTTATCAACATGCTTATGATACACCAAGTCCAATCCAAGATAATAAGAAATTTCCACTCGTAAAGTAAAAATTAAAAGGAATCAAACTTTTCAAATAACCTCAACAGTGAAAACAATTAATGTGCGTAAAGAAATAATTCAGTAAAAACCCCAGAAACATGATTAAGAAGTAAAAATTTTCCCTTCTTATAAAACAAAAAACTGCAAGAAAATTCAATATCTACATCAAATCCAAACCCACAAAACCTCATTAAGATACTGGTGAAACAGAAAAAAAATAATACAGAACAATTGAAATTTTAAATAAGAGAGAAATTTCAGCAAAACTGTCATCCAGATCTGAAACAAATGTAATAAAATAAAATTACATCCACATACAAACACAAAATACATTAATAAAATAATTTTTATATATACCTGGAGGGCAGAGAGGTGTTCATGGTAGAACTGGTCAACAGGGGGATTAGAACCATCATCAATCAAGCTTTGACAAACCTTACTATCATGAAGACAACTCTTAATCCTGTTCCAATTCTTTTGATTATTCACCCTCTTCTGCAACCAGTTGGAATAGTCCCCAAGCCTATACTCCTTATACCCTTTCTGAGAAACCACCACCCCAGCCCCTTTGTTAGTCACCACAAAAGCAAAAATAGTGAAGCAAAAGAGAAGGACTATGAGAAGAAACATGACAAGTAGATAGATCCAGAGGAGCCATGAGACTCGGCAACATGAGCCTACGAGGCCGGCCAGAGAGACTAACATGAGAAAAACTCCAAGGGCGATTACTGGTTTTTCAAGGAAGCGTTCGCATTCTGTTGAGCCCTGGCGTGAGAGCCAAATGCCTCCTGCGAGGATTGGGATTGAGAGGAGGAATGTGATGAAGTTGAGGATGCCTACAAGGTTGTTACTCACTCGTACCATTCTGGGTTTTTCTTTAAGATTCCTATAAGAATACCCAACAGAAGGTTTGATCAAAGAGAAGATTGAATCCAGAAGAGAAATTGATCAAAAGATTTGAACAGACAGAGGAGTTCTGGATGAGGAAAGGGATTTCAAGAATTGCAGAGAGCACTTGAGTGGGTGAGGATCAGGGGGGGGTGTGTCGGTGACTTGGGGGAAATTTTGGATTTCTAAGGTGGCATTGTAACGAGCGACGTGTTCTTGTACTCGCCCGGTGACCGTGTGGAATAACTTTGCGGTTTCCTTACGGTACCAAAATTTATTCCCACCAGTTTGAATGCTTTGCAATTATTAACTAAAAATAATAATAATAAATAATAACATAAATAAATTATATATGTTAAGATTTTATTTATTCCCAAAATCTATTTGAGGTCTGATGAGTGCAAGATTTTGGGTTTGGGCAATCGACGAACTGGGGACTAAAAGCCTCCCTAGCCCGAGGGTCTCTTATAGGTTCGCCTAGTTGAAGGAAGGGAAGCACATTACACAGAGTCGTCTAACCTAGGCCCAATCGAATACCAGCCCAACTAGGACCCAGGAAGGAGACAGACTGCTCCCCCTTTAACAACCCTGTCGTTCCACGTGTGCAAGGGACAAGGGACCATCTCTGAAATTAGTTGCTGCAGCATCCTCCCAGACAAAGAGAATGGTGGAACTCAGGGCCCAGAGATCGTGGGCATAGTAGCGACGGTGGATGGAAGGCTTTTGTAGGGTCGCAGTAGGAGGTCCCCACAGGGTCGACGGGAAGTCAAAAAAAGTCATAAGGAATCTCCGGAGGAACAACCTCTATATAAGGAACAGTGCCTTACCAGAGAAAGAGAGAGAGATCCCCAGAGAGAGGAAAAAGGAACTCTCGCCTGGAACGGCTCAATACTTGTAATTTCACTGCGTCGCATAAAACTTCAATACAATGCATTTAGGGGCAAGAGCCTCCATTACAGTGGATGTAACCTTAATCCCTCGGCTAAGGTGAACCACTTATTTTTTGTGTTCTTTTTCATTTAATTTCCCTGACCCATCACAACGCAAGAACCAAACAACCATAGTCCATAGGTTAGGCTTGGGTCGAGAAATTCCGAGAATAATCAGTTGGCGCCGTCTGTGGGAACGATTTTCATCATTTATTTTCTAATCTGTTGATTACTTGATGGTTTCTACTCAGAACATGAGTAAAGCTCCAGTCAATCCCCAAGTCTGTTGGAACCCACTAGAAAACTTTTCAATCCTAGAAGGAGACGTCGAGGACTGACCTCCAGAGACAAACCTCCCTCCTCCCAACAAGCTAGAAGCTTATCATCGAACTACAATTCAATTAATAAGGCAGAACTAGGAGCTGATGGAGTGGATACAAACGCATCAGCTCCCTTAGTTCTCGCCAACACGTCAGGAACCTCCTCCACCCCGGGCCGAGCAGGACGCTCCTCCTCAGGAGTGCCAAGCCCCGCCTAATGGAGTCACCGAGCTCCATGAGCGGAGCCACTCTGAGGAAAATCGTCAGAGGCGGTACCCAGAAGAACGCAGCGAAGACGAAGCCCACAGCAAGGCCAGACCTACCTTCCAAGAAGGCAGATCCTTCCATCCGCCAGATATCGCGGACCATCACTTAGAACAAAAGCTCCGCGAACTCCAGCAAGAGCTAGGGAACATGAAAGAAGAGATCAAAGGAAGGACCCCTGATACCATGGACGCCTTAGTCCAGCAGATAGAGTCACCATTCACTCCAGAGGTCCTTCACTTCCCCCTTCCCCGGAAATTNTCATGATATTTGATAAAATAAATGAAACTTTCATATCTCTCCACAAATAGGTAATTCAAAAAAGAAATGTATACAACACTACATGGGAATAAAGAAACCACTCTAGAATTCTAAGATTATTCTAATCCTTTATCATTTTTTATAAATCCAGATAAAGAAAAGAAAAAGAAAAAGAAAAAAAATATAACAATTTTGAAATGAGTCTAGTCTAAAGAACACACAAACATATTTTTTTTTTAACAAAAATACAAGATTGAAGAAATAAAATGACGAATTTTCTAAATTCGTGGGTAGTGAAGGCTTGAAATTTTAAGAAGAATCAATGGCCTGAAATTGTACTACCGATAGTGTTTAACTCAAAAAAATCAAAGAAAAATTTGATGGGTAGGATTAGAGTTTATATAGTATGAAAGATGTATGAGATTAGGATTTTGAAAAATACAAAAAATTAAGAAGACGAAAGATGAAAAAGAAAAAACTTACCTCCTACCTTCAAATGATTTGTGAAAGTTTCAGTGATTGTCAACAATGGAAGCAACGTAGTAGGGAGGGCCAAAAAAAGACGGAGAACAAGTCATCGAAGAATTCTTTTAGTTTTGGATAGGTTAAAAAGTTATCGTTAGAAATTTAGTATCGAATTTGAGTCTAGTTCAATTTGAGTCTAGAATAAGTTTTGTCTTGATTTAGTATAGGATTGAGTCTAAGGTTAGAGAAATTTTTTGAAACATTTTGACTCAAATTTAAATTTGAGTCTACATTTGAGTCAATTTTAGAGATGCTCTAATAAGTTTGTTTGACTTGTAACAGCAGAATAAAGACACGGAAACAAAACAATCACCAACACCTTTGAAGATTAACACAAATGTTTGTTAAAACAAATAATTTTTTTCAAATCAAACAGATACCAAAAAAAAAAAAAAAATTCTCCTATTCCAAAGAGTGGGAGTTCAAAACAAAATNAACTCCTACAAAAACCAGATGGAGCTTTAAGGGTACCCGGACCCAATACGCTGCCGGGCTTTCGCCATCACCCTCAAAGGGTCGGCGATAGCCTAGTTCAATCGTCTGTAACCAACATCAATCTCCTTTTTTATGNAAGGGTCGGCGATAGCCTAGTTCAATCGTCTGTAACCAACATCAATCTCCTTTTTTGGGGAATTGTCCATTCAGTTCATTTCCCACTTCATTGGAGCAAGGACATACAAAAAACCATCCTACAATCTTCTGAGCGTCAAGCAGGGGCCCAACGAGTCCCTCAGAAGCTATGTTCAACGCTTCAACTAGGAATGCTTGAAGGTAGAAAGCGTGGACGATAAGTTTGCATTGACAACTTTTATGTCGGGACTTGGGCTTCAATCCAAGGATCTCCTATTTTTAATAGCAAAGAATCTTTAGGCCACTATGGCCGAGGTGCTAGCAAAAGCCGAGAAGTACATTAATGGAGTATAAGCTCTCCACTTGAAAGGAAGCTCAACACCGGTTGAGTAGAGCAAAAAGAGAAGGGACCGTAGTCCCAGGAAAGATGAGAAACATGATCGATCTCCGAAGCGAGAATGNGCCTATACTCCTTATACCCTTTCTGAGAAACCACCACCCCAGCCCCTTTGTTAGTCACCACAAAAGCAAAAATAGTGAAGCAAAAGAGAAGGACTATGAGAAGAAACATGACAAGTAGATAGATCCAGAGGAGCCATGAGACTCGGCAACATGAGCCTACGAGGCCGGCCAGAGAGACTAACATGAGAAAAACTCCAAGGGCGATTACTGGTTTTTCAAGGAAGCGTTCGCATTCTGTTGAGCCCTGGCGTGAGAGCCAAATGCCTCCTGCGAGGATTGGGATTGAGAGGAGGAATGTGATGAAGTTGAGGATGCCTACAAGGTTGTTACTCACTCGTACCATTCTGGGTTTTTCTTTAAGATTCCTATAAGAATACCCAACAGAAGGTTTGATCAAAGAGAAGATTGAATCCAGAAGAGAAATTGATCAAAAGATTTGAACAGACAGAGATTTTCTGGATGAGGAAAGGGATTTCAAGAATTGCAGAGAGCACTTGAGTGGGTGAGGATCAGGGGGGGGTGTGTCGGTGACTTGGGTGNGAGAAGAAGAGAGCCCTCTCCCAAAAGGAGAGGCAACGTCCGAGATCGACTAGGACTGCCCCCACAAGACTTGCAGCCGCGGTTCGCCCCAGTGCGACTCCCACCATTGGTAACTTCAATCGCTCAGGTCCTCCACGAAGTCTAGAATGAGAGGTTCTTTTGGTGGCCGCCATGAATGAAATTCGACCCTAGCAGGCGAGACCCCGCCAAGTATTGCGAGTTCCACAAGGATACCGGTCATGAGACCAACGACTGCATCCAACTCAAGAAAGAGATAGAATACCTGATTCAAAGAGGCCACCTGCGCCAGTACGTAGCAGGGGAAGGGAGAGGACAGAACAATCAAGGGCGAGAAGCCCAAGCTGCTGCAATGGCACCTCAGCAACACCAACAAGCATTGGGCAAAATCTGAGTCATCTCGGGAGACTTCGCAGGAGGCGAAGAATCGAGTTCTGCACGGAAAGCGCACGCCAAGAGAGTCTGTTCACCAAACTTCTTGGCAATCCAAGCCGTCGCTAAGGCACCCCGCCGAGACGTGGAGATCACTTTTTCAGACACAGATCTCAAAGGATGCCAACACCCCGCACGACGACCCTCTGGTCATAAAGGCGATCGTTGCGAACAAAATCGTACACCGAGTGCNCCAACACCCCGCACGACGACCCTCTGGTCATAAAGGCGATCGTTGCGAACAAAATCATACACCGAGTACNCACCCCGCCGAGACGTGGAGATCACTTTTTCAGACACAGATCTCAAAGGATGCCAACACCCCGCACGACGACCCTCTGGTCATAAAGGCGATCGTTGCGAACAAAATCGTACACCGAGTGCTTGTCGACAATGGGAGCTCGACGAATATCATCTTCCTAAACGCCTTCGACCAGCTCGGCATATAAAGGTCTTAGCTTAGGCCCGTGAAAATCCACCTCCTGGGTTTCTCAGGAGAAAAGGTCTTGCTGATTGGAGCCATTCAGCCCATCCTGACAGTGGGAGACCAACCTTGCCAGGTCACGACCACCGTTCATTTCCTTGTCGTCGACGCGCCGTCCGCCTACAATGTCTTGCTGGGAAGACCGTCTCTCAACTCGATTAAGGCAATACCTTCGGCATATCACCTGGTGATGAAATTTCCCACTGAAAATGGGGTTGGCATGGTCCGGGGTGACCAGTGCCTCGCCAGACAATGCTATATGGCATCGATGAAGCAGAAGGAGGTGGAATCAGTCCAGCTAGAAGACCTGGATATGAGGGACGAGCTGGAAACTAGGCCCACCCCCTCCGAGCAACTGGAACCGGTGCAGCTAGACGAAAACCCAGATCACATAGTATTCATCGGCTCCATACTGCTGCCTATGATTAAAGAAAAACTT